AAATCTCATTCCAGTTAATGAGTCCATTACAACATCCCACAGATACATTTAGCAACTTCTGTATCCATCTGGAAATCTAGCTTTCTACTGCAGATGTGGGGAGCACAGTGACTCTGTAGGATAAGCACTAGAAAGCAAACCACAAGTTTGGCAGTTCAAGCCTACCAGTCACTCCATGGGAGAAAGATGAGGCTTTCTGCCTCCACAAAGATTTACAGCCTCAGAAATTCTATACAGGGTTACTATGAGTTAGAACCAACTCAATAACAACCGCAGATTTGAGTGTTCTAACCAATTGTCAAGTCAATTCTAGTGGATAGTAATCTCTCCCTTCTCTGAAAACTAGCCCCCTGATATCTAATCACTTAGGAGCTCTGGTATCATAGTGGTTACAAGTTGGGCTGCTAACCTCAAGGTCAGCAGTTCGAAACTACCAGCCATTCTGCAGGAGAAAGATGAGGCTTTCTGCTCCTGTAAAGATTTACAGCCTTGGAAATCCTATACAGGGTCCTTATGAGTTGGAAGTGACTCCACGGCCCATAACCACCATCACTATCTATTATCACTTGCCAATCTCTTATAGCATGCCAATGTCAAATGGATGCGGAATTAGGATGAATCCTAATTGCAGGTAACCTTATAGCTGGGGCAGTGTCTTAAATTTCTTTGTGTTTTTCCCATAGAGTTATTATTTACTTTATGTGTCTGAATCTCCCAATAACTAACTACATCTGTTTACATCTTCATATCTTTAGTGAATGATACATTTGCTATAGGAGAACATTACAACTAGGACTCCAGTTTATACATGCATGAATTTATACCAAACAAAATGTGTTTAACTGTGTTTCTGCCATCAGTGAAGAGATGCAAACAAACTCTTTCAGTAATACACTTAGTCTCATTAAGATGCCTTCAAAAAATAAAATCTCCTATCAAAACCATGACTTCCAAGGAGATCTTCTGGGTCGATTAAACTCAAGGCAGAGAGGTCAGCTCAGAAGTGTTTGGTGACTGTCTTTTGGGATTCCAAAGAGGTAATCTTGGCAGATATTCTTAAAGAATACAGGAAATTACAAGGTCTTATTAGGAAGAACTTTTAAGAAAACTAAAACTGCATTAGTGAGAAACAGATCAGAAAATTTGTGCTGAGGATATTTTTTCCCTAGCAACAGTGCACCTTCAAGGGTAGTCAAGGCTGTCCTTCCAGAATTTCATTGGGAAACCTTATCCCATCCTCCTCATAGTCCTGATCGTGTCCCTTCAGGCTTCTTTTGTTTTTGTTCCCCAAACTCAAAGAACATTGAAGAGGAATACTATTATTTGGTCCCTTGAGGATTCCAAAACTGCCGTTTGTGGTGGTGTAAATCTAAGAGTGCAGAATTCATAAGGGAAGGATTTACTGTTGTTGTTAAATGCCTTCAAGTTGATTCTGACCCATAGTGACCCTGTATAGGGTTTCCAAGGAGCAGCTGGTAAGCTTGAATCACTGACCTTGCAGTTCATACGACTTTAGAGAGATGTAAACACCACCTTCAGAAGTGTAGAGACTTGGTGGAGGAGATGTCAAAAAAAAAACACCTTCGCATTTTGGTAATTTTGTTTAATAAATATTTCTATGATTTTATAGTAATACTTTTTTTACTTGCTCTCATAGTTTTGATAAATATTTGGTGATAAAATGAATTTTATTTATTTGAGGGTTTAGTTAAGTAACCTAATACATGCTGGTTACTGGTTATTCAATAATGCTACATATGCAGTGGATCCATACTTTAAGCGCTGGGCTGCGAACCACAAGGTTCATGGTTCAAGTCTGCCAGCTGCTCTGTGAGAGAAAGATGAGACTTTCTGTTCCCATGAAGATTTAAAGCCTCAGAAACCCTAGACAGGGTCGCTATGAGTTGGGACCAACTCAATGGCACTTAACGAAAACAACAATTATTATTATAAGTCTCTAAATTTTACTCAAACATAGAAAATAACACACATTAAAATCTGCTTGAAGTCCTGGTGTGGTGCTATGGGTTAAGGCATTGGACTGGAAGGTTCGTTTGAACTGCAAGTTGGCAGTTCAAACTTACCAGCTGCTCTTCAGAAACCCTATACAAGGTCACTATGAGTAGCAATAAACAGCACTTAACAAAAATATACTAAAACTGACACAAATATTTAAAATGCAACAGTGTAAAATGTATTGAATCCAGTAGGGTCACTATGAGGGTCATTGGTATCAAGTTTCGTTTAGTTCATCGTAGTAAGGATTTCTGGAGTCCAGGAGTGGCACTGTGGGTTAATGCGCTAGACTACAAAGTCAGTTTGAACTGCAAAGTTGGTGGTTGAAGCTCACTAGTTGCTCTTGGATACCCTCTACAGGGTCGCTGTGGGTAGGAACTGACTTGACGGCACTTAACAACAACAGTAAGGCTTTATGGTGTGGCACTTAGGATAAGCACAGGACTGCAAGTTCACTGTAAATCACAAGGGCGGTGGTTCAAACTCACTACACTCCTCGCAAACTCTATACTGGTTTGCTATGATTTGGAACCGATTTGACGGCACTTAACAACAACAACAACAACAAGTATTAAGTTCTGCTCAGGAAATGTTTTTGTTGTTAGATGCTATGGAGTCGGTTCTGATTCATAGCAACCCTATACACAACAGAATGAAACACTACCCAGTTCTGGGCCATCCTCACAATTGTTGTTAAGCTTGAGCTCATTGCTGCTGCCAGGTGTCCATCCATTTCATTGGGGTCCTCCTCTTTTTTTTACTGACCTTCCACTTTATCAAGCATAGCGCCCTTCTGTAGGAACTGGCCCTCATGATAATACGTCCGAAGTATGAGAGATGAACTCAAGGAATAGGGAACCAAAATTATCTACCTAATAGCAAGAGATTCTTGCTATCATCAGGAAAATCTCAAAGAATGATCACATGACATCACTGCTGGAAGTAATGAAGTTTGATAATATGTAAGAAAAAACCCTCATCCACCCACCTTAAGGCATACTAATGTTGTTGCTAGTGGGTGCTGTGAGGGTTTCCAAGGCTTTAACTCTTCATGGGAGTAGAAAGCCTCATGTTTCTCACGTAGCATTTATTGAGCATTTATTGGCTGGTTAGCTGGTTTGGTCTGTGGCCAATCTGTTCTATGCTGTCTTGCTATGTGTTAGACCCTATGTCCCATATTAGGATTTTATAGACATGAGATTAGGCACAGGCAGCACAGTGAGAAAATCATTCATCATTATAATTAATTATAATGACCAGAGGTGTTCATAGTTACCCACCATCTTCTCATTCTCTAACTCTTTTCCAACTACCCCCATTTAATGTATAAGGAAACTGAAGTTTCTGAGATGTTAAATTATGTCTCTGAAGTCATCAGTGAGTGAACACCAGATAGCATGACTCAAACTGGACGTTGTAGGTCCCAAATCTCATCCATGTTCCACTCTCGGCAGATGATGATGAGAGGAAACCCAAGCTTTGGTCCCTACTCGGCCCCTAAAGTAGTTGTGGAACCTTCAAAGAGTCATTTAATTCTTTGACATTTTTATTTTTTCATCTTCAAAATGACAGGGCTGAATTCAGTAGTCCAAGAACTGAATAACTTAAGGGTCTATAAACACAGACCTTTCCATTTTTAAAGGAGCCCATGTGGAGTGGTGGGTTAGGCGCTGGGATGCTGATCAAGGTGCTGATTGTAGGAACCCACCAAGTGCTCCATGGAAGGATGAGGTAGTTAGATTCCCAAAGTACCTACAGCCTTGAAAACCTAAGGGAGCAATTCTACTTTGTCCTACAGGGTGGGTATGAGTCTCCAAAGCATTAGGTTTGGTTTGGTTTCCAGTTTTTAAATTTATTTCTAATCATTGTTTTCAAACTCCTAAAAAAATCATCTTTGTAAACTCATTTTAAACTTGAAAGAAAATTCAGTATTTGGGAAATTACTAGCTGCTCCACAGAATTTAAAGTTCTATCTAATAATAATAATAATAATAAAGATACTTCAAAACGTGAAATATTATAATCCTAACTCATCTTCAAAAGTTACTTTTACAGCGCTTGTGTTAAGCGACATTTAGTCAGTTCCATCTAAATGACTTTGTATGGGGTCTCCAAGGTTGTAAATCTTTGCAGAAGCAGAAAGCCTCATCTTTCTCCCTTGGAGCAGACAGTGCACTCAAACTGCACACCTTGTGGTTAGCAGTCCAGTGCTTACTCTACAGAACCACAGAGACATTCTGTTGTTAAAAATTGTGTCATTCTGAGCTGTTAAAACTCCATGCAACTTCATAATCAAACCAGAATTGCAGAAGTCTCAGAGAAAATATGAACTGTATCTTAAAGCCCTAAGTGATTAATTGAATAATCTTAAATGAAACAAAGGTAGCTAGCTCCCTGCATACCTAAAAGGAAAATTTGCTGTTAAATGAGAAAAATAATTGTGAAACGTCTCTGATCTCTTTTTAAGGATGTTATTACACACATTTAATGGTAATTATTATGAACTCAGAGTGTGAGAATGTCTTTTTTCAATAACTTCTTCAGTTTTGAAATATTATGTGTTGCTAGATTTTAAAATAAATACATAACTATAGTGAATATTTATTCTGTTTGCCCAAAAGACAGTATATCATGGAAAATACTGTATCCGAATGTACTATTGCAGGTTTTATCACTGTAAGGGTTTCTGAATCATCTCTTATGTGTTTTCAGTTAACTAAAAGCAATCCGCCAAAGGAGGAGGCCAAAAAAAATCTACAAGCCACAAATCTCAGCCAATCAGGTAAAGACAGATCAGCCTTCAGGCAAATCAAATTTCTTCATTTCAAACTTACCTGGATTTGGCATTCTGCCCAACTTTTTCAAATCTCATTGCAATATACTTTCATTAACAAGTTAAAAGGATGCATACTGAAAAGCATAACTTTTGCAAAATAATTTTCAAAACAAGGAACTCTTAAGCCCAAGGAAGACAACCATTTGCAAAAAAAAGGTTAATTTCTGAGTCAGCAACAGGTAAATACAGGACAGGTGGGTGGGATTGAGGTGTGCTCTGGAGCATAAATAGAGGCTCAGACAGCGCCGGCACAGTCTGAAGCTCGGACCGCATCCTGGCAGCCTTGCACCAGGAAGGTGAGTGGGGAAATACAGGTAAGACTTCTGAAAATAGCTCTGAAATGCCACCTGCTAGAATGAGCTTTGGCTTCTGATTATTATACAAAATAACAGGCAATCAAAAAGCAAAGAAGGGTGAGGTAGTTCCAAGGGTAGAGAGGGAATAAGAGAATTTCCACCAAAGGCTTTCTTGGGACCTCTTTTTTGAGAGTGGGGAGCTGAGCTGACAAGGTATTACTTCCTGAGCTGGTTCAAAGTTCTGATTTCTCCTTTAGGAAATAAGAGGCTGGGAAACTAAGGAGTTTGCAAATCTGGGAAAGTGCCATTTCACCTAGAGATTTCCTTGTTGTATCTAAGTGCCGTTGAGATTTGTAGCAACTCTGTATTGGGTTTCTGAGGAGTAACTGGAGGTGAGTTTGAACTACCAACTTTGTGGTTCGCAGTCCAGTGGTTATCCTAAAGTACCACACAAGGAATCACCATCAAATGCTCTGCTTTTTCTCCCTCTGTCTAAAACCACAGTCCACAGGGAAACTGCAGTTCAGATTGCCCATTGAAATGTACTATTGCTAATCATAAAACAGTGTTTTCTCTATATTTGCTATATATTCTTGTTGCTTCTTTAATCTTTAAATTTATGGGATAGTCTGTTAGGGGAGAGAGTGATCATTTTTTTTTTTTT